ATGGTCCTCAGAATCTACCTCCAAATTGATGCTTAACAACACTGTGAGATAAGGGTGAATGAGCCTGAGAGAAGCAGAAAGGGAGCAATGGAGGAAAGACTCTCGGAGGCATAGGCTCTGGCAGAGGTATAGAGAAAGACAGAGATTAGATGTAGAAACAAAATATTGCCAGTGGGGTGGCACATGCCTTTAATCCCAGCACTCAGGGGGCAGAGGCAGGCGGATCTCTGAGTTTGAGGCCAGCCTGGTCTATAGAGTGAGCTCCAGGCCAGCCAAGGCTGTATGGAGAAATCTTGACTCAAAACAAAAACAAAAACAAAAGAACCCACCCACATAAACAAACAAACAAAAGAATTGGATACAAAGGCAGCAGAGAGAACTGGGACCCCTCATGATGTGAGGGTTCTTACTGTCTTCAATACTCCGCTCTTTCACCTTGTTGGAACTGGCCGTGGATTAGGTTGGTGGTAGGCAGGGGCTAGGGTTGAAGAGGTGCCGGGCCAGTGGTTCTGGGATCACCCTGGGATGGAGCTGGTCGTTGGGCCTGGGGTTGCCTTAAGGGATGGGCCTGAGTGGCAGGCAGGCTTCCTCTTGTCCTTTCCGGGTGGCTTTTCCGAGTTCCTCATTCTTGTGACTTAGAAGTGGGTGTGTGGAGCTCTCTTGGAGGGATCAGAACCCCTTCTAGCCCACATCTCCTTTCACTTCCTGCTCTTTACGTTCCCCAAACTGCTGGAGTCTCCAAATCCCCCAGGAGAAGCTCACACTTCCGCTCCCATTTCCCAGGATGCACTGCTGGAGGCTCAGCCCGCCTCTGGGCGCTGGTGTGGCGAGGTTCTGCTTCCTGTCCTTCCAGAGGAGTGACATGGATCAAGCAGCTGGAGCTGGGGGGTGGGGTTTTCTCTGTAGCATCTGGGAGAGGTGAGAGATGGATGGAGTTTACTGAAGTGCTTTCTATGGCCAGGGCTTTGGGTAAAGGCTCCGCACTAAACTGTTCCCTTCCATCAACCTCCTTAGTTCTCCTAAGACAGAAGAAGGCAGGTACTACGTGTCCGATTTCAGTTAAAGAAACAAAAGATCAGGCATCTTGAGTAACTTTTCTGAGGTTCAAAGTTCACCCTTCCGTTTACCTCTAAGGCTCCACCTGCTTTCCAAAAGGGAACCATGTTTTATACAGTCTGTCCCCACTTCCTCTTCATACAAAAATCATTGTTTATTTTATGTGTATGGATGTTTTGACTACATGTACGTCTGGGTACCACATGTATGCCTGGGCCTGTGGAAGCCAGAAGAGGACATTGGATCCCCTGGAACTGGAGTTACAGATGGTTGTGAGCCACGATATGGGTGCTGGGAATTGAACTCAGGTCCTCTGGAGGAGCATCCAGTGCTCTTAGCCATGAGCTATCTCTCCAGCCCCCTCTTTTTTCTCTCCCTTCCTTCCTTCCTTCCTTCCTTCCTTCCTTCCTTCCTTCCTTCCTTCCTTCCTTCCTTCCTCTTTTCTTTCTTTTTGAGTACGGTTCTGGGCATGGAAATTGAGTAGTGAATCAAACGGTTCTTTGAGGACACGCTCACACAATTTACGTTGGAAAACGTGTAAAGAGAGTGGAAATGACACATTGTTTTTCCATGCAGCACACCTGCCCGTGTGCAGGTGTGGCCCTGGCTGCTGCTGCTGTTTACACGTGAAGAGACCGCTTCTGCTCAAATGGTGTCTCATTCCACACCTAGATGATACAAGGCATGATGATATGTTAAACAAACATGATACGTTAAACATGATATGTTAAACATGATATGTTAAACATGATATGTTAAACATGATATGTTAAACATGATATGTTAAACGGAGACAAGCCGTATGGCGACAGGGAGAGGGTGGATCGCATGTGGCCGTGGCGGGAGTCCCCTCCGCCTTGGCGTTTCAGTCTGACTCTGGTGAAGCTGCAGATGGCCTGTTTGGCCTACTTGTTTGACAATAATGGAGTTTGGAGTGGCCCTGCTGGGTGTTACTGGTATGAGTAGAAAATTCTGGTTTGTCCTGGGCCCTGGGCCCTTGGCATGTGGAACTCAGTGTCAAAGCAAGTTTCTGATGTCTGGGGTGATAGTTGTGTACAGAAAGGATTATTCACTGTTTCTTGTTTTGATGACATTTACAGTGATTTTGTTAAATTTTTATTTGAAATTAAAAAAAGTTATTTGTATGCGTGTATGGGCACATGTGCACGTGTGCGTTTAGATGTGTGTGACCATGCGCACACATGCAGGGGCCAGAGGAGGACGCCAGGTGTCTTCCTCTCTCACTCACTGCTTGCCCCTCACCATTTTGCCTAGGCTGGTTGTCTGGTGGGCGCTCAGGGCTTCCCTATCTCTATCCTGGTTGGCATGTCAGATCCCCTGGAACTGGAGCTACAGACAGTTGTGAGTCACCGTGTGCGTGCTGGGGAATCGAACCTCTGGAGGAGCAGCCAGTGTGCTGAAACACTGAGTCACCTCTCCATCTTTTGTAAAGTATTGTAGGAGCTGGCCTGGGAGATTAAGACTGATGGTTTTCATAAAGATATTCCAGCAAAAGAGAAAGAAAAAAATCCCTCCCCAGTAACAAAGACGGCTGTAGAACCTAGATCCATGACTCCGAATGCATTCCTCCTGTCTGCTGCCCTCTCCCACACTGTAATTCCTACCCCTAAAAGCCATATCATGGACCTGGGTTCTCTAAGATGGTTCTCATAGACAGTAGCTCTTCCCATCATCCAGAATACCAGCCTTTGAATAAAAATGACTTCCTTTCCTCCAGCTCTCGTGTCCCGAGTACTGGCTTTTGAATAGTTGTCAAAACGGATCCAGTACTACAACTATTTGAGATGAATCAATTGATTTATTTTGGCTCGTGGTTTTAGAGGTTTCAATCGTGATAAATTTGCTCTGTTGATTGGCCCCATGGGGAGGCAGCACATTATGACAGAATGCGCAGGCGCAGCGAGGCTGCTTGGCTCCTGACTGGAAAGGGGGAGCAGAGAGAGAACTGAGATTTCAGCCTCCTTGTGAAGGCATACCTTCCAACACGGAAATCCCTCTCAGCAGGCCCCTCTCTCACAATTTCCTCATATTCCAATAGTGTTATAGTCTGGGGACCGAGCCTTTAACACATGAGTTTGGGGTGGACATTTTAGATCCAAACTACAGTATCAGCCACCTGGACCAAAGTCACCTGATCCCCTTTCTTCCAGTGACAAATGTATTGACCTCACAGGGTGTTGTGTTGTGAGGGTTAAATGAAAAATCACCTATAGATACTGTTTATGTGTGTGTGGTGTGTGCTCGCCTGTGCCGGTGTGTGTGTGGAGGCCAGAGGTGGATTTTCAGTGTCTTCCTCTATTACTCTCTACCTTATTCTTTGAGACCGCGTCTTTGAACCTGGAGTTTGTTGTTTTGGCGATGCTGGCCTCGTGGATCTGCCTGTCATTTTCTGTTCCCTGATGTCTTGGCATCGTAGGTGTGTGTTGCCATGCCTGGCTTCCTACGTGGGTGCTGGGGATTCGAACTCAAGTCGTCACGCTTACAAAGCAAGCGCCTTACCCCCTGAGTCACCTCCCCAGCCTTTAGAGACACCGTGTGAGTCTAGCAGGGCATGTGGAGAGATGTTTGTGTTCCTGGACTCGGAGTGGTGCCAGGGTCACGACTCCCCATATTTTGAGGAACTTACCTACTCCAGAGTCAAGACCCACAACTGAGCAATGTGCAGAGTGAGGATCTTTGGAGGACTCAGTCCTAAGTGGGATGTCTTCATCAAACTTCTCCCCACTAAAAGGGGGAGGTGGACACTGGGTCTCGCTCCTAACCAAGAAGCTATTTGCAATTGATACCCAATTGCGAAGGGAAAAATCTGTTTTCTCCAATGGCGTGTCATTGGGTATATCAACCACACTTCACCAGGCCCAGGAGTATTTGGCCAACACAAAATGAACTTCACGGTGTTTTTTTTTTGTTTTGTCATATTGGTCTTTTGCTTTGACTTTTTATTTTATTTAATTTTTTTTAGAGAGAGAAGGGGGAACATAAAGTTGGGTAGGTGGGAGAAGAGGATCTGGAAGGATTTGGGGAGGGAAAAAAAAGGAGTATGAGTGAGTCAGGCCGGAGTGGGGAGCCCGGTGCTGAGTGCATAGGAAGCTGTGGCTGTGGCTGGCGCCAGAGTCACAGGCTCAGATTGGGCAAGAACAGGGAACTGATCTGTAGGTCACTCTGATCCAAGATATTTGGAGACATCAACAGTTCTGGAAAATGAAGAGGCAGGAAGTGAAACAGGGGAGGGATGGAGAGGAAACAGCAAACTGTATCCTGGCCCCTCCACACCTGGCTCCCCTTCCTACATTGTGCAATGAGGGGCGGAGTGGTGTATGTGTGTGTACAAGGGGACGTCCCTTCTCCTTTCTCTGCTTGTGAGAACAGAAACATGTCTTCCACCCCCACTGCTCACTGTCCACGTTTCCAACTGTGTTTCTATTTCTATTTACTGTCCAAAGTCCCAGGGGGCAGGAGATGACAGGTTAGATGGACTTAGACACTCAGACACAGGGACTCGGCTCTCATCTAGACCCACCTCCTCCTCTCTCATCTGGCACCACCTGTCCAGTTCTCCCAGGTTTAACCCCTCTTTCTCCTTGTGCGTGGGCTGTCTTTGGAAGCCAGAGACAGCTCTCTAGACCTTTAACAGGTAACTGAGGTGGGGGGAGGCAGGTGGGACTGGGGATGTCTAGGGCTAAAAAAGAACATGGTTCAGGGACACTGCGGGAGGAATGGGAACATGCTGTGTAATTTGGTCCATAAGAGTATGTTAGGAAGGCTCCTGGCTGTGCAAAGAGCCAGACAGTCTCCTGGGAAGAGATGGGACCCTGCAGTATTTCAAGCCTTTATCCAAGCTAATCTCCAACCTCAAAACCACTCACCTTGACCTATTCAGGTCCCATCAGTCCCTCCACAGGAGATTGGCTTCTTAGCGTAAACCCAAGTTCCAGCTCCAAGAAAAACCTCAACTCAGCTCCAGCCCTCAGGGCCCACCATGGAGAAGGACTTTCAAGATATCCAGCAGCTGGACTCCGAGGAAAATGACCATCAGCTCAGCGGCGATGAGGAACTAGGCACCCATGGGCAGAATCCTAGGACAGAAAATCCATTCTGGAAAGGCAAGTGTTCAGTGTCTGGGGGCCTCACTTGGATCCGTGTCTCAGCTGCCAGCTCCTCTGTCTCACTCACATTCACTCAGTGAGCAGGGTGTACGTCTGTCCTAGTTAGGGTTTCTATTGCTGTGATGAAACACAGTGACCAAAAGCAACTTGGAGAGGAAAGGGTTTATTCGGCTTATGCTTTCACATTACTGTTCATCATTGAAGGAAGTCCGGACAGGAACTCAAGCAGGGCAGGAACCTGGAGGCAGGAGCCGGTGCAGAGGCCATGGAGGAGAGCTGCTTCCTGACTTGTTCCCCATGGCTTGCTCAGCCTGCTTTCTTATAGAACCCAGGACCACCAGCCCAGGGGTGACACCACCCACAATGGGCTGGGCCCTCCCACATCACCCACTAATCAAAATGCCTTACAGGCCTCCCTACAGCGCAATGTTATGGAGTCAGTTTCTCAGTAGAGGCTTCCTCCTGTCTGCTGACTCTAACTTGTGTCAAGTTGACATAGAACTAGCCAGTGCAGTGTCCCTCTAGATGTGAGCTGCTGACACCTCTGACTGCAGGGTCCCAAGGAAAGGGTGTGTGCCTAGAAGCGAGAGAACGCTGGGACCTAGAGATGAGTCCTTCCTCCAGACTGCCCGTGTGCAATGTATGTGCCTAGGAGGCGTGCAGAATCCAGAGCTGGGGTGGGGCATGAGTTGGGGTGCACAGAGAGATCCCAGGAGACCCCACTTGTTTCCTGCCTGAATCCCCCTCTTGCACATTTTGAACACAGGCTCCCCGTGGTTGGAAAAAGGTTTAGGGCAAGAGAGATCTTACCCTAGGCTCATTACCCAATGTGTTTCAGACACTTTAGTTTTTCATCTCAGAAGAAACTTGGAACTTGTGTTGTCTCACTTTGTAGCCCAGGCTGACTTGGAACTCACTGTGTAGCCTGAGCTAGCCTTGAACTCCCAGAAGTCCCCCTGTTTTAACCTCCTGAGTGCTGGGATCCCAGGTGTGCACTACCATGCCCAGCCAACTTGGACTCTTAACTATCTTTCAGATCTCTGGTGTTTTACACCTGTGTGGTCCAGTCACAGCATGGGCATCAGTGTCCTGTCTGTTCTAACATTGGTGTCTTTTCTGAGTCCATTTCAAATGGTCTTGGGATCTCATTTTGATAGATGCACTTTCTGATTATTGATTTTTGATGCTGGTAGTTCAACCCAGGGCCTTAGGCACATAGGCAAGTGTCATATCACTGAGACACCGTGTGTCTGAGTTGTCGACTTATCCATCTCCTTCATTTGGACTGTTTTCCTATTTCATTATGTCTTGTAACCTGTGGTGGGATTTGGAGCGTTGTGACTTCTGTCTTGCTGGGTGCTGGATGCTTTTGTATTCCTCTAAGTATTCTTCAGCTTTCTGCGGTGCAGGTAAGTGGCTTAGGACCTGTCTGACCCCTGGGTCCTTCAAGCTGTTTCCTCAGCATGGGGAGTCTGCTAGATTCTGTCCCGATTTCTCCCCGCTGCCCAGTGACCTGGAAAGTTCCTCTAGGTGTGAGCAGTGAGCTGAGCAACAGGAGGACTCATCTCGTTCATTCCCCGTCTTTCAGGGACCAGTGCCCTTCATGGCCTGATGTCCAGTGTCTTGAAAACTGTTGTTTCATACATACATGCATACACACATATATATGTATATGTATATGTGTATGCATGTATGTATATATATATATATATATATATATGTGTGTGTGTGTGTGTGTGTGTGTGTGTTTTAATTGACTTTTTCTAAAAGAATGTTAAATCTGGCAGCTTCCATTCCATCTTGAGTAGAGCATTTCAAACTTGCCTACACAGAGCTTTATGTTTTAACTCATATAATTCCCAGAACCACTACATCAGGAGGCTACACTTGTCACTGTTATTTTATACATGAAAAAAAGGGGACACTAAGAGATGGAATGGCCTGTCACGATGTCAGACCTAGTTGGTGACTCGGCTGGCTTACTCTGGGTTGACTGGCTTGGGACTTGTTAAGTCACAGGTCAGTTGGGAATCAGGACAAGGGTTTCCTGCATGACTGTTCTAGCAGAGGCAGTAGGGCTTTAGATGTGGATTTCCATCTGGGAAGACTGGTCAGAAAGTGTTTCTAGATGGAGCATTTCCCAGCCTGTCTTGTGCTGCTAAAACAGAATGCACAAGACTAAGAAACTTAGAATGAACAGGTATGTGTTGGCTCATGTTTCTTGAGTCTGGGAAGCCCGGGACTGAGGGCTGTGTCTGGTAGGGTTTCCTCATGTGTCACCCCAAAGTGGGAGGGCATGGGGAGGGTGAAAGGGACAGCAAAGAGGGAAGCTTTTTGCTGCAAGCCGCAATAATATGTAGTAGGATTTCAGCTGGCTGCGGCAAAGCTATACCTGGAAGAAGCCAAGGGCCTTCCAGAGGTCAAGCCAGGGCTCAAGGAGCCTTGTGATATTGGCTTTTGATTATTAGCCGTTTCCTGCTATGAATTTCTCATGTGCTGTTGTAGCTTTTCCATCATTTATTAGGCACAATTTCCCCTCTACTAATGGAATATTTAGATAACCTTCTGTGCAGTAATGCAGCCAGGATGCCTAATTCAGGCCTTTCTGTAATTATCGTCATTAGCAGCATCTAGCCAGGACCATCCCCAGACAGATGAAAGTATCTTATCAGAGATACCTCTGGACTCTCTAAGAACAGACTTAAGCATCCAGACTATCGGTTTGAGAAGGCCTGGTAGATGTGCTAATTAAGCTTAACTTTCTCCTTTCCAAAGTCTTATCTCTAGTTTTAGATCTACCCTTAACAATTAACTCAGAACAAAAGAGTTCCAATTTACAGGTACATCTAGCTGTGACGGAAGTGGCCCAGCCAAGTTGCCTAGCGACCAAGAATACTTCCCCTGCCCTGCCAGAAATGGCGGGGAGCAGAGATAGCTTGGAGAGATAAGGCCAAAGGCATAAAAGGCAGTTTTATTTTCAGAGGAGGGATGGAGAAGAAAAAAGAGAATGGAAGACCTAGATGGGTAAGAGCTGGAGAGGAACAGACTGAGATGGGGAAGAACTAGATAGAGGAGAACTAGATAGAGGAGAACTAGATAGAGAAGAACTAGATACAGGAGAACTAGATAGAGGAGAACTAGATAGAGGAGAACTAGATAGAGCAGAACTAGATAGAGCAGAACTAGATAGAGGAGAACTAGATAGAGCAGAACTAGATAGAGCAGAACTAGATAGAGGAGAACTAGATAGAGCAGAACTAGATAGAGGAGAACTAGATAGAGGAGAACTAGATAGAGCAGAACTAGATAGAGGAGAACTAGATAGAGGAGAACTAGATAGAGCAGAACTAGATAGAGCAGAACTAGATAGAGGAGAACTAGATAGAGCAGAACTAGATAGAGGAGAACTAGATAGAGCAGAACTAGATAGACCAGAACTAGATACGGGAGAACTAGATAGAGGAGAACTAGATAGAGGAGAACTAGATACAGGAGAACTAGATACAGGAGAACTAGATAGAGGAGAACTAGATAGAGGAGAACTAGATAGAGCAGAACTAGATACAGGAGAACTAGATAGAGCAGAACTAGATAGACCAGAACTAGATACGGGAGAACTAGATAGAGGAGAACTAGATAGAGGAGAACTAGATACAGGAGAACTAGATACAGGAGAACTAGATAGAGGAGAACTAGATAGAGCAGAACTAGATAGAGGAGAACTAGATAGAGCAGAACTAGATAGAGGAGAACTAGATAGAGCAGAACTAGATAGAGGAGAACTAGATAGAGGAGAACTAGATAGAGGAGAACTAGATAGAGCAGAACTAGATAGAGCAGAACTAGATAGAGCAGAACTAGATAGAGGAGAACTAGATAGAGGAGAACTAGATAGAGGAGAACTAGATACAGGAGAACTAGATAGAGGAGAACTAGATAGAGGAGAACTAGATAGAGCAGAACTAGATAGAGGAGAACTAGATAGAGGAGAACTAGATAGAGCAGAACTAGATAGAGGAGAACTAGATACAGGGGAACTAGATAGAGGAGAACTAGATAGAGGAGAACTAGATAGAGGAGAACTAGATAGAGGAGAACTAGATAGAGCAGAACTAGATAGAGCAGAACTAGATAGAGGAGAACTAGATACAGGAGAACTAGATAGAGGAGAACTAGATAGAGGAGAACTAGATAGAGGAGAACTAGATAGAGGAGAACTAGATAGAGGAGAACTAGATAGAGCAGAACTAGATAGAGCAGAACTAGATACAGGAGAACTAGATAGAGGAGAACTAGATACAGGAGAACTAGATACAGGAGAACTAGATAGAGGAGAACTAGATAGAGGAGAACTAGATAGAGGAGAACTAGATAGAGGAGAACTAGATAGAGCAGAACTAGATAGAGCAGAACTAGATAGAGGAGAACTAGATAGAGCAGAACTAGATAGAGGAGAACTAGATAGAGCAGAACTAGATAGAGGAGAACTAGATAGAGGAGAACTAGATAGAGGAGAACTAGATAGAGGAGAACTAGATACAGGAGAACTAGATAGAGGAGAACTAGATAGACCAGAACTAGATACGGGAGAACTAGATAGAGGAGAACTAGATAGAGGAGAACTAGATAGAGAGAACTAGATACAGGAGAACTAGATAGAGGAGAACTAGATACAGGAGAACTAGATAGAGAGAACTAGATAGAGGAGAACTAGATAGAGCAGAACTAGATAGAGGAGAACTAGATACAGGAGAACTAGATAGAGGAGAATTAGATAGACCAGAACTAGATACGGGAGAACTAGATAGAGGAGAACTAGATAGAGGAGAACTAGATAGAGAGAACTAGATAGAGGAGAACTAGATACAGGAGAACTAGATAGAGGAGAACTAGATAGACCAGAACTAGATACGGGAGAACTAGATAGAGGAGAACTAGATAGAGCAGAACTAGATAGAGCAGAACTAGATAGAGGAGAACTAGATAGAGGAGAACTA